CCAGCACCACCTGGGAAACTCTCACACTTCAGGTAAGCCTTTGCCCACTCTGGACCACAGCTTTAGTATGCTGACCCTGAGTAAAGACGCCCAGACTTCTCATCCTCAGGGATTCTGGTCTCTTAACCTCAGCGGATTCTTTAGCCCCAATGGCCAGCAACAACTGTCTCAGTGAAGCAAAATTTCACTTTAGTGCTGTTGGCCTCTTGTTAACACTGGGGATTCTTCAGCTCCAGCCAATCAGAACCTCAAATTCTTAATAAAAACAAAACAAAGCAAAAATCACATGATAAAGTCTTTGAAAAACTCTCAAACTTTCCTCTGAAACCTCACAAGCCAGGGTTGTGCTCCAAAACACAGGTCTGTCACAGCAATATCCCATGAGCTGGTACCAATTTCTCTCTTTGTTGTATTTCTGTTGCTCGCTTACTGGCTTGCTCAATCTGCTTTCTTATAGCATCCAGGACCACCAGCCAAGAGTTGACCCCACCTACATCGAGCTGGGACCTCCCACACAATCATCAATCAAGAAAATGTACCACAGGCTTGCCCACAGGCAAATCTTGGTGGGGCATTTTCTCAATGGAGGTTCCCTCTTTCCAATAACTACAGCTTTGTATCAAGTTAATCTAAAACTAGCCAGCACAATGACCAAGAACTGGAAGATGAATTTTATTTAAACAAACAGCCACAGCAGAGTAACCACATGCTAGTAATCAAAAGTCAGGCTGGGGGCAGAGGGAGGAATTAACAGGATGGATCCAGCTGTCCAGTTTACAAGAAATCTGGCTATGGAGTTTTTATGTTTAGCAGAACTGGGGATAGAATCTAACACTTCACACACATCAGGCAAGCACTCACCACTGAGCTTTATCTCCTGCCTTTTAAAATTATTTTTAAAAATTTATTAGTGTTCACCTATTGTTGATTTGAGGAGGGTACAGTGCACGTGTCTAGGTCAGAGAACTTGTGGAAGCTGGTTCTCACCTTCTATCATTCAGGTCCAAAGAATGAACTCAGGCCATAGGCATCTTTATTTGCTGAACCATTTCTCTGGCCCCCTTTTCCACTTTAACATAAGGTCTTGCTAAGTTGACCTGGCTGACCTTGAACTTGTAATTCTCCAGCCTCTGAGTCCCAAGTATCTAGGATCACAGACATAAATCAACAGGCCTGGATTCTTTTAGTTCTAAACTTTTTATTATTTTAGTTCTTAAACATAGTTTTATTTTTAATTATCAGTATAAGCTCCTCTCTCTCTCTCTCTCTCTCTCTCTCTCTCTCTCTCTCTCTCTCTCTGTCTCTCTCTCTCTCTGTCTCTCTCTCTCTCTCTCTCTCTCTCTGTCTCTCTC